AAAACATGCAGCACCCGCACCAACAAAGCATGAATGCAGCTCGATTGTGGAAGTGTGCTTGTGCGCGGCCATCTGCGAAGAGCCACAAGTGACTGCCTGTTGGCGACGGCGGCGCGAGCTTCGGCAACTGCAAACTCTGCAACAAAAGGCTCAAAAAATCAGCACTACATGACAAGTAGGCAGAGGTCATGTGAGCCCAAAATGGGAAATCCTTCTGTATTGTCTGCAGAGGGTGTGATGAGTGCCCCTTGCCCACGGCCAAGGCGGGGCAAAGAAAGATGCAGTGCGCCTTCGCATCAAGCTGACTGCACAACGGGCAGCTCCCATCATCATCCCGCAACTCCCCGGGACCATGTTCGCTTCTCTGCTCCCGACGTGTAATTAACCTCCGGAGCAGTGGCGTAGCAACAGCTGTTGCTCCCGTGGCCGCAAGATTTTGATCACCTTGTGACTGGCTTGTGCATGCTGGGCCAGCGCTGCCTGCAGGCCTACGCGAAGCATAATGTTGTCGGACGGTGTCTGCCCATGCAAGCTGCACCGCGTGTGCAATCTGTTTGGGACTGGAACACAGAGGTCAAAGGGCCTTCACACCAACCCTTCTCTTTCAGAACCCACTGATTGCTGCTGAGAATGACGCGCAAGGCTGCCGCGAAACTTGAGAAGAGACAACCCTGTGCCGCTCTCTAGTGGCAAGGTCGGGGAACAGGTCTGGCATGGAAGGTGATGTCACAAAATCTAAACCTCAGGCTCTTGCTCGTGGGGCGCAAGGTAGAAAGCAGCATGTGGGGAAATCGTCTGGTGATTAACGGTACTGCCCTTGCAGCAGGCCCACGAAGCGACTGGACAGTTGAGAGACTCGGGCTCAGAACCAAAGAAAAGGAAAGGCCAGATCCCGCCTTGCAAGGCACAGTTGGTTTGCGGATCGCTTGCAAGATTACCATTCCGGGCAAAAGCATCCATCATCTACGCGGGAAGGAAAGCTGGACAGATGTCCCACCATCTTCTTGACAGGGGTTGAATGCACCAAACAATAGGTCAGTCCGGTCAGTCAATCTCCAATCAAAGGCAAGACGTTAGGTCTTGAAGGATCAACTAGGCCGGGCCATGGCAGTCGGGATTCCCCGAGGAACATGCCACAGGCATGACGGTAAGATCAGAGTGGACGTCCGACCCACAGATTGCGTGCTGCCCGACTGTGTCTTTAGTGGCCGCAAAATTGAAGAAAATTAAGGCAACAGCGGATGTCCTCCGCTTTGCGGAGATACTTGCGACACTGTAGTACGTACGACCGTTTGTAGCATCTGGGAGCACTGCTTGACACGTATAAACCCCGGCTAGGCCCAGCAACTAATGCGCTGCCGACAGGGCGACGCAGAGTTCAGCAACCTCACGACAACGGACTCGGACAGCGAGCCGTGTCGATAAGAACGACAAAGCCATGTGCCTCCTGCAGACCTCAGGGTGGCCGGACGATGTGACTAGACTTTGGCAACCTTGTTATCCCTGAACGGCAACTTTCCAAAGCTGGCAAGGCTGCCCAATCTTCGCTTCAACAGCTGAACATCTACCCGTGGCGGACGACCAGCAAGATGCGCGGATCCGAATCAAAAAAGTCTTGACAGCTTGAAAACTCCAACACACCTGGGACGACACGGATATGTTTTAAAGAGTGTGGACGATGTGGCCCGCGGGTACCCATGCCGCTGTGCTCACGCACATACCGACGCAACATCAGCAAAGACTCCGCTCTGCTGTGCTGAAGCTCAACTCCAACAGCAGGCGAAGCCAAGTACCTGCTCTGGCTCACGCCTCTGAAGCCTCATGATTTCAGCACCAAACTTGCGCATGTTGGTTGCACCCATCCGCGTGACTGCCTGGCAAGCAACCGGTTCAACCGGTCTGCATTGCTCGACACATCGCCGGAAGTCGCACCGTCACTTCTGAATTCGCGAAGGAAGAGCAACAAGAGATGCAGGAATTTTCGCTGCGAAAAATGCGGCATGCAGAAGTCCAAGCCAGGTAAACCAACAAGCGCAGCAGTAGCCCGTGAATTTCCCAAAACGTGATGCTGGTCAGAGCCGAGACACAGAACCAAGCTTACCACTGCCACAGTGGAAACCTTCCACAATGGATCCAGGGCATCATTCCAGCCTCGAGGTGTGCAGGAGTCTACGCGGTCTTGGAGTCATGATACAGGCGGCCTGCTCCAACTTCACGCACAAAGGATAATAATACTGCCGAGTGGCTTATGCCTCCTGTGATCGAGAGGAAGAGCGTCAGCATGCAGTTGCGCACCCCAAACCAGTAGTAAACTGTTTCCTCAGCGCAGGGCTTCCTCCGGGATCCGTGTCGACTGATCTTTCTATCTGTCCTAGCAGATGCTACATGAATCTATAGATAGATAAACATTATAAACATGTATATGTGTATATAACGGCTAGGTCAGCAGCTGAATAGGTATGCATGTATATATATATATACATATATACATATATATGTATATATATGTACATACATTATGTATGCACAGCTGTTTGTATGTTGTGTCGTGTCGTGTCGTGTCGTCTTGCGCGTGTGTGTCTGTGTGTGTGTGTGTCTGTCTGTCTGTCTATCTGTCTGTCTGTCTGTGCAACTGTGCGGTTGGGTGGGTGGGTGGGTGCGGGGGGGTGTGGGTGTGGGTGTGGGTGGGTGGGGGGTGTGGGTAGGGACTGTGAGAGTTGATGCAATGTCCTTAAAGGTAGCCAGACATGGGCCGAAACGCCAACACAGCACAGTAATGCAATGTGCGCATGCATTTAAACAAACATACAGTGCAGGACAGGATAGGACAGCACAGGTCAGCAGGGGACATGACAAGACCAAGCAGCAGTATACAGCAGAGTATGATGGCAATACAATACAACGCAGTGTATTGCAACGCATGCAATGCAACGCAAGACTATACCATATACCAGATGCACACAGCAATGCAAACAGCATACAGACGCGCAATTCTGCACGGAGGCATAGTTCACATATATGTGTATGTGTATGCATGCATTATGCATACATATAGACTTGGCGTCCACGAGAACGGACCGTTTTCCTGGGAGGGTTCATGAAACCGAAGCAACCCTCATGAAGGAGATCGGGGTTCTAGACACGTGGGCGAAAGCAGGAGTCGGCAACCGGCATGCGACTTGACCTAATCTTGTCATCTGTTGCATGGCCTCCACTTGTTCTAAGAAAGACGACGACGTGAACTCTGTGGACGGAAACGGCGGCTGCTTTCGACAAGCGTTCACCGGTAGAGCTTGGCAGCACAAGAGTGTGGTTGCCATTATACATTCCAGTGCCGAGCGAGCATCCGCGGTACAAGCTCCGCCGCCTCTGCAGTGGTCCGCCACGGACTGTGCGATGATCACGCCAAAGCCTTACAGCCACCAATGTCTCATCAGACTTAAATTTGTCTCCAGAGTTTATGTGAGTTGCGAAGCCAAAAATTATGCTTTGCGCTGGCATCTAGATCCTGCAGTGACGGCGGGCTTTTGCAAGCTAGCTCAGCGCAGGGTGCTCTACAGTGTGCTTCACACTGTTTTGCAAACATCCAGGGAAAACGGACAGAGACAGAGAGACAGAGAGAGAAAGAGCGAGGGAGAGAGGGAGAGAGAGAGACAGACAGAGAGAGACTCAGAGAGAGAGGGAGACAGAGAGAGAGACAGAGAGAGAGAGAGAGAGAGACAGAGAAATAGAGAGAAAGCGAGAGAGACAGAAAAAGAGAGAGGGAGAGAGAGAGAGATACAAAGAGAGAGAGAGAGAGAGAGACAGACAGAGACAAAGAGAGAGAGAGAGGGAGAGACAGAGAGACAGAGAGAGAGAGAGAGACAGAGAGAGACAGAAAGAGAGAGAGAGAGAGACAAAGAGAGAGAGAGAGAGACAGAGACAGCAAACGAATCGGGGTCAGGCTACCTCTCCTGCTCCCAGCCCGGTGCTGGCAAGGGGCAGTAGAAGAGCATGAGAAGCAGCACCAGGGTCCACATCTCGGAGGGCCAGGGGAGATAAGCTGGAACAGAAGTGGGTGGGTGTCCAAACCAACCGAAAAGGCAAAAAACACCAAAGAGGTTGCAAGGACCCCTATGCCAGATGCAGGTTTCGGCTTGGAACTCACAACAGAGTCGCCAAGCACGCCGAGAGCATGATCCTCATGACCTCTTATTGATATTCCGGCGGACTTCATCCTCCGTCCACAGGAACTGTGGAGCCCCATTAGGACTTTCTGAGAAGCCTTAGAATCGCTCTTCGCAGGCGAGTTCCTCTCCCTGAACTCTCGGCGGTGCCGTTCCTGATGCACAGTGCAAGACCATAAACTATGAATCGCCCAGGCACGAGCGAGCCCATGGTGCTAACAATCGAGAAGATGATTGTCCGCAGAGATCCGATGTACTTCAGCAGCTTCACCACCTGCTGTTTCTTCTTAAAGCTCTTGGGCTAGAAGTCTTCGGGGACGTACATGCCAAGTGCCGTCAACCACAGCATGGTGTGAGTTTATGTCTCAAGCTACTTCAAGCAGATCAACTTGGAGCTTCAGTCTGCATGAGAGTATCTAGTTAACCGATAGTCCCTAAAGCGGCTCGCAATGCAGAATCCTGCGCTGCGGCATCCTAAGCCAGGAACAAGACACCAAGCGCAGAACACAAGCCAGTGCCGAACAACCGACTACTAAGCTAAACTTCAGGCTTTGCGACTAAGTTGCACGCACGCCGCGTAGAGTCCTCGGAGACTGGGACTGGGTCTCTGCAGCCGGAGTTGAGCCTATGCCATGTGTATTTACGGTGGTTTGACCACACCGCTGTTGCTGCTGAGCCACTCGCAAATCTTCAGACATCTAAGGCTGAAGGCCAACACACTCACATCCGCATGCTTCCATCTGTTAAGCCATAGCCTGCCCGCCAACCATACCTAACAATTAAAGGACCTTCATGCATAAGGGAGTGCGGTGCGTAGAATCAACAACTCGCAGGTTAGCCATCCAGCGTCCCTCGCATGACCTTACTAGTCAAAGAGCCTTGCTCACCGAGGCTCCGTGCTAGCCTTGCCAATCGCATGACTCGCAGTTGGTTGGCGTCCATCTGAGCGAAGAGGATGGAGCTGAGAAGCTCTACGACCTGAAAGCTCGGGCAAGTGAACATCTCTGCGGCTTTGATGCTACTACCAAGTCGTGGCAGGCCCGTCGCTTAATCCCTCTCTCGCATCCTACCACTCATCATTCAGCTTCTGCTGCACCATGCGCACTATTCGGTGGAAAGCGTCCGCTTCAGAACAGGCGTGGACAAAACTCGCATGACACGTGAGGTCCGTGATCCCAGTATCTACAAAGGCCTTATATAGTCCGGAAGCCTGAATGAAGCTGCTGTCAGTTCAGGTAAGGGGCCACCTCGAACAAAGACAAAGCAACAACGATCATGTCAAACCAGTTCCACATCTTCTCGATGCCCATGAAATATCCTCGGGCATGTATGAGCTCGAGTGCTCGCAGTCGGAGGGGATTTGGGCAAAGCAACGGTTTCGCGCATGTTTCATGTGCGGCACGTGAACTCGCATGCCCATACAACGGTCCCGCAAACACACGTCCAACTGCAAACACTTCAAAGCAGCTCCGGTGAACTCGATCTCAGACGCTGCAATAGCGGACAGATACCGAAAGATGATACTGTGCAATTAGTCGACCCTGGTAAGGGTGGGCTGGTATGTTAACCGAAGATGCGAAGCACGAGCACAGACTTCTCAGCGCTCCACGAACAACGTGTATCTATCTGTTTGACTGTCGTAACTATCGAAAAATCTACCGCATAACACCCATCTCATCGAATCCATCTACCTGTCTGTCCATCCATCTCTTCATCTGTCGATCTATGTATCTGTTAATCTTTTTAATCTATCTATGTATCCATCTATCTATCAATCTATCTACCGCTCTATCTCTCTATCTCTTTATAAAATCTATCTACCTATCTATCTATCCATCCATCTATCTGAGTGTCTATCTATCCATCCATCCATCGGTCTATCTATCTACCTATCTATGTTTCTTTCATGATTCGTCGTGTATGTGTGTGTGTGTGTGCGCGACATATGTATGCCTGTCCGTATGTGCCTATGTATGTGTATGCATGTATGTATGTATGTATGCATGCATGCAGGCAGGCAGGTAGGTAGGTAGGTAGGTAGGCAGGCAGGCAGGCAGGCAGGCAGGCAGGTATGTATGTATGTATGAACTTACTTGTGTAAGTGTGTATGTGTATATGTAATTACATATGTATGTATGCGTGTATGTGCACATACATATGCACATGTATGCTGATCTGTGCATATACATATACCTTGTCATCCACATTGGCATACAGATGAACATCTGTGAGTTTATACTGTATGTAGCTGTGTTTGAACGTGTGTAACGGTCATCGACCGAGATGCACATATGTATGCACATGACAGCTTTCAGGGTCTAATGGGGATTTGCTTTCCAACCCAGAACTCGCAAAAACAAATTCGAAGGCGACATGTCTACAGATGCTGTTGTCTAGAGTTTAGAGAAGCACCACTCAAAACAACATATACTACGCGACGTGGCAGCAATTTTGCCCAAAACCCCGGAACTTTTATGCTATTTCACTACATGTCTCGACACCGTCTTAGCAACCATCATCAAACAATCTGTCCACGATTGGACCATGTGTCCTCTGCAGCCATACGCAGCCAGCTTAAGCACCACTTCAGCTGTAAATACGAAAACGATCACGAGGTTGATCTCCGCGAAGAACGGCGGCGACTGATCACAGGACAGAGCCAGCAAATGTCATAGGATTGAAGTCCGAGATCCCAGCCCCAGAACACGACATGTAGGGATCCGGTATAGGGGGAGCAACAAAAACAAATGTAGAGTCAAACATATCGGCTGTCGCAGTGTAATGATGCTTGCATCTTCCGGGTGTCCTCTGGCGCACACGGTCTAGATTCTGCTTGGCCAACTTTTGCGGCGCAGCTGGCGTCCGCATCATTATATAACACGACAGAAAAACAGAACCCTGGCACGCGAGACGAAACCCAAATAGCAAGTGCAGGCGCCGTCCGTGCAAAGGGACGTTGCTCCAGCCAGTCCTCAACCCTTAACCTCAAACACCAAACCGCTCAAGGAACCGTGAACGAAACCCCTATAGACATTTTTACAAGACTCTTAGTGTCCCTTCCGCAACAAAAGACTTCCGCCGTACAGAATCGGATCTGTTGCACAGCAGGGTGGCAACTGTCTGTGACATTCCTTCTATACAAGGCTCTACGCAGACTGTCACTGAAAGAGTCGCAGCAATAGTGGAATTATCATGATAACAATACCATTGTGATGATATAACCGAAAGAATAAGAAGAATGTTCCACAAACAACAAGAACAATAATTACCAATAACAGATTTGTGAAATGTGAAATCTCAGTGATGACCGTATAGGACTAACAGGCAAAGTGAAGAAGCATAACAACAAAATAAGTTTGCACCGAAAATATGATAATGTATTACCAACCTTACAGAAATGAAAAAGTAATATACAAATACAACAGTATATACATACTAGTGCAATCATACAAGAATACAGCATCATAGTAATATGAAGTGCCACAGTATAGGAATATCTCAATATATCGACCATATAGTAACGTAACAACATGGTGTTATAATAAAACTGACAGTGTAATAATGTAAGCATTTTTATCATCACATAACAACACTTTAAAACGATTATGGAAGATTATAATGATATAATGATACAGTGATAGAACAAGTAGTAATATACAAACCCATCTATTACATACACTTGTAATCCTGAAACGTAGGCATACTCTCATTCGGCGATCCCGGCGCACCAGAGATAATTATCTTAAACACGCGCCCTCATGCGGCGAGTCCGGTTCACCGCATATCTTAAAACGACGCCCCCTTATTTGGTGACTCCGGTGGTTCATCACATATCTGAAACTGGCCCCCGCATTTGGCGATAATGGTTTATCACCATGTTAAACACCCCTCCGTATTTGGCCATAACGGATCAGCCTATATCTTAAACACGCCCTCTCATTTGGCGATATCGGTTCATTATATATCTCAAACACTGACGGACCGACTGACTGACTGCCCGGCGCTCGGCGCATGGACCAACCGATCGACCGACCGACGACTGACAAACCGGCGTGCTCGCGTACCGACCCACGCACCGACTGACTGACTGACTGGCGGGCCCGCGCAACGACGGACGACTGACTGGCTGACTGACTCGGCGCTTGAAGCCATTCAAGCGACACCAAAAAAATACCAAGCACAACCAACACAACGCCCAAACAGAACCCCCAACCCGTCATAATTAGGTGCTGGAGCGATTTCTACGCTCCGTTCCTCTAACCTCAATGTCGATACCTGTATACACCAAAAATTGGCCCTGAACACCGGAAATAGGCCCTGACCACAATCAGGCAAGTTGTCTTGAGCGTGGCCTCTCCCGGGGGCAAAGATGCTGACTGGTCGATCTCAAGGCCTTCGTGGCAATCCCCATTTCTCCCGACATCAATGCATTGCTACGCTGCTACGCATCGCCGGCGCACCAACAGCCCTGGCAGATGCAATGGACTCAGTCGACAGAACTAAAGTCTCAGGATCGGGAATGAGTCGTGTATCACACTCGCTGCGTCCTGGAATTAACGAACTCACCCTGCAGCCACTCCCTCGGCCGAGGTGCCAAGCATGACAAGGTTCAGCAGGATCAGAACGAAAACACCTCATGGACCAGTCCGGGTACGTACAATGTCAAGCCAGCGGCAGCGAGAGACACCGCATCTACCTAAACACGACGGCTTCCTTATAAAAGAGGACAGCGAAGTGAGGATCCAAGATGGCTGCTCTGGTGGATAAGTTGATGACTTCGATGCAGAAAGGTAGAGTACGACGTATATACATACTGGTTTCGCTCGTACGAATAGACAAGCACCAACCGGGGCCGCCAGCAGAATCCCTAATGATGCAATACACTTTTCTGGCAGCCTGCCACTGCTCCCCAAAGCCTGGAATGAACCCCAAGCTCTAAGCCTCAACCCCGAATGGCCCTTCGTCAGAGTCCAGGATTTAGAGCATAACATCTAAAGAAGCCACACCAGAGCTTCGAGTACCCCCTCCCCTCCCCCAAGACCCCTTAAAGGCCCCTCCCTGAGCTTTCCATCCCGGGCGGCTGTAGTTGAAGACGTGGGAGTTGACGCAGGTGTTCAGGGTCTTGCGGGCTTTGGTGATCGAGCTCGAGCTCCTTGGCTGAGGCCCGCGAAACGAGCCGAAGCCCACTACACAGGGGCCAGAATCATCAGAATTAGGGTTTGGGGTAAATATGTTGCTATACTATCCCATAATTAGGGGCCTCAATCACAAGAATAGAGCTGGGGCGTTACATTAGACCTCCCCAACCCCTGTACTGTAAACCCTCCAAAGGCCCAACGAGCAAAACAGAGAGCACCAGCCTGACTGAAGATCCTAAGGAACTAAGAAAGATTCACATTTTATGTGGTTACCTGTGAGAATGAGTGAGCGAGCCAGAAAGAGAATGAATAACTGAATGAACGAATAGACAAGCACGCATAATTATATGGCTACGTGATTACATGATTGCATTGCATACATACTTACATACATACTTGCATACATTCATATGTACACACACGTACATATGTCATTGCATTGCGTTTCACTACACTACATTACGCCAAGTCAAATTTCAGACACACCAACATACAGACATACATAGATACACATATACAGTAAGCCATACTTACGTACATACATACACACATCCTGGCCATCCATCCAGCAGCCAGCGACGCATACATTCCTTCATACACTCATACATTACATACGTACATACAAACATTGCATACATTTATATCAGACATTACATGCATTGCATACATTACATGCAACACATGCATTACGTACCTTACAAGCCTCTTTACATTCCTGCCAGAACGACATACTTAACACAGACCACATGCATACACCCACACATACAACATGCATACACCCACACATACATGCATACATACATACATACATACATACATACATACATATATACATATTCATACATATACATATACATATACATATACATATACATATACATATACATCTACATATACATACATTCCTACATACATACATACATACATACGTACATACATATATACATATATACATACAGACATACAGACATACAGACATACAGACATACATACATAGGTATGCACGTGTATAATATAAATATAAATAAATAAATATATGTATACATATATATATATATATACACTGTACATATACGGAAAGGTACGCTGTGTGTATTCAACTGCTTTTGAACACTTCTTCGTTTTTTGCTTATACTATCTACTTATCTTATTCTGTACTTGTACCTATCTTCAGATATTGACTGCTTGAGTCCACGTGTGTTTCAGTAAAAATGCACGCCTGCAAAAACATGTCCAAATGACTCTAAGCATGTATCCAAATGAAAATATTCTATATGATTTTGACTCTTATGCGCATGTGAAGACCATACCCACGTATTCTGTCGTATCCTTCTTGCACACCGCACACCGTATGTTTGCATAGGTAGTGCCTTGGAACCTTCAGCATCCAAGGTGCATCGGAGAAGACCCAAGCTTGAACTTCTGAACCCAGGCTGCGAGCCCACTGTTTATGAGCATCCGAGCAGCAAGGATGATCGATGTCACAGCGTAGCCTACCTCGTGCAGCAGAGGCCGGCAGTGTACGGGCTCATGTTTTCGCGATTCAGCTCGCTTCGGGACCACAAACCTACATTTCCGATACTCATCCTTGCTGCAAAACCGTGTCGAGCAACCAAAATCCAATCGCAAAACACGCAGGCACTCCTGGATATTACAAAGCATACCTCTAACTTCATCTTCCCAGGTGCCTCTTGGGAGGCGTCCTCCACCTCGTTTCGGAAGGCCTCCTCTTCAAAGGTCTCCTGCTTGGAGCTTCATGGGTAGTTATAGGTAGGGTTATAAGTCCCCTAAAATGGGTTATAGCTATAGTTACCCTACTCATAACCCCACTTTTTCTATCATGGGTAGTTAAAAGTAGGGTTATAAGTCCCCTAATATGGGTTATAGCTATAGTTACCCTACTTATAACCCCACTGTTTCTATCATGGGTAGTTATAAGTAGGGTTATAAGTCCCCTAATATGGGTTATAGCTATAGTTACCCTACTCATAACCCCACTTTTTCTATCATGGGTAGCTATAAGTAGGGTTATAAGTCCCCTAATATGGGTTATAGCTATAGTTACCCGACTTATAACTATAGTTACCCTACTTATACCTATAGTTACCCGACTTATAACTACCCCTGAACCTCCAAGTGTTGGGAGCTCACGGTGCTCATGGCGGACGGCTGGGTCTTAGTCGGTTAAGGTTTAAGGGTTAAGGGTTTAGGGTTTAGGGTTTAGGGTTTAGGGTTTAGGGTTTAGGGTTTAGGGTTTAGGGTTTAGGGTTTAGGGTTTAGGGTTAGGCCCTCTTGCAAGTCCGAAGATTGCCCAGGAAGTCGAGGTTTCTCTTCCCAGATTAAGAGACTACCTACAGTCTCCATTGTAGTTCCTTTTTTTGGTTTAACCAATTCTATATTAGGGGTCCTCAAAGGCAACCCCAAAAAGGAACTACAATGGAGACTATAGGTAATCTGCAATTGTACTATACTGTTGATGATTTTAAATCGTGCATGACTTTGAGCCAGCCCAATATGAACCGGCCAAAGAGTTATGGCCCCGCATCCCTTGAGATCTCAATGTTGATGTTGGGGGAGAGGTCGTGCTGGATTTATATCATTCGCGCGGTCCGATTCGCACACGTCTGCCTTCGACAATATTAAAATTCAGGGGTTCGAGGGGAACGGCTCGTGTCTTATAAACTCATGCCGGATTCATATTATCCACCGTATTCTACTATAACACACAATCAAAATATCATATACTACGTTGTCTTGTCAGCTTCAGCTGACCGATGCGTCTGATACAAAAGAGCCGATCTTATTTGGCGGCCGGTTCTCTGCTAGCAACCCTGCCGATGCGCATGCGAAGCAGGTCCTTGTTCATCGCTGCCACAGTGATGACGTTCTCCTTTGCTCTCATATCACTTGCTATCCAACTGTCGCACGCACAACCCAACAAGAAAGCCTGACAACGCGATTCTACGAAAAGTGGCAGGAAGCCCTTGGGTCCTACAGGCCTTACGACGCTGCCAGCTTCAGGAGCCAGGCTCTTCGGGCAAAACATCTACAGAAACATAACTCTTCAACGAAAGGCTGCAACACGCCTGCAATCCAGGCATACTGCCTTGGCAACACGTTCCGCTGGAACAAGAGTAGTTAGTTATAACAATTTCGCAATATGAAGAAGACTGATGTTGGGTATGAACACAGAACAACAACGACAGCAAAAACCACAACAACAGCATCGCACCCTAAGCCCTAGCTTCGCCTCTTTCACGTGGCATCTTCGCGCGCTTCCGTGACAAGTACACAAAACGGGAATCTCAGCGTAACCGATATTTCGAAAGACGGAACTAGGCACCGTTTGTCGGCATAATGACTATTCGGATTCTTGCTAGACAGGCACGATCCAGAAGTTTCGCGTTGTTCGTGTTGCTCATGTGAGATATACTGACATACCTTTCTGTGCATGTATGTATGTGTGTATGTCTGATACTATGTATCGCCAAGACAAGCTAGTGTAAGTTTAGGATCACCCAACCTTCTGGTTTTAGCTGCAGACGTCTCTGCCAGGCTTGCGAGGTAGTTACGCAGTGCTCACCACATCTCGAACCTGCGTAATGAGGCGGATACATGAGTCCGAAAACCCGACATGACAAGGCCCATTTTAAGATGTTGATGCTGTAGAACCCCAAAACCATGAAAACGCTGTAGAACCCCAAAACCATGAAAACGCTGTAGAACCCCAAAACCATGAAAACGCTGTAGAGCCCCAGAACCATGAAAACGCTGTAGAGCCCCAAAACCATGAAAACGCGCCCGAATCCCTTGTCAGATCAGGATGCGGAGAGAGGACCGCCCTCGCGCACCACAAACTCACCTGATGAGAGCCCATTGAGGTTCCATGGTTCAGCATACGGTGTTAGAATCTTTGCGTGGCAGTTCTCAGCGCAATCTTTTGATCTTGCTGTTGGAGTTTGCATTGGGGTTGATCTTCATTCACGTCTGCTGCTGATTGTCAAGGTGCTCTCTGACAGCACCAGTACGAAGTGAAAGTAATTTATGGCAAGCAAACACATCTACGCATGTACAAGTGCACATATGTCAATATGTACCACGACTGAAGAGGAAACACAGAGTCCTATCTTTAGAATAGGGCTTTGGGGGCTCCTTATTACAACTATAGTACAATATACCCCCCAAACCCTATTATTCTAATTCTGAAGACCCCTATATTATCTTTACATCCGTCAGGTGACAGGTCTCCACGTCACAGACGCCGGTCGTCACATACAGGTTGAGGATGGTCATGCCGCAAGCATGAAGGACCTACTTGGAGGTTCATGGGTAGTTCTAATTATAGGTAGGGTTACAAGTCCCCTAATACAGGATATAATTGTAAGAAGGGTTCCTTTAAGGGTTGTAGGGTTTAGGGTTTAGGGTCTGGGGTAGCTATAAGTGGGGCTATAAGTGCCCTACTATGGGTTGTACTAATAGTTCCCTTACTTATAACCCCACTTACAACTACCCATGAACCTCCAAATACCAAGAGGCTGACCAAGTTATCCGACCCATGACAGACCAGGCTCACGGCAAACTACTGAATAGTATCTGCTGCGTATGTTTTCAACACCAAGTGGCAAAGCTTGTCTGTCAGGGCAAGTGCCCTAATGTGCCCTGCTCTTGCTGTGTTGAGAAAGTATGACTGCATTGCTGCCTAGCTTCGAGGACTGCAGCATCAATGCCAAACATACAGGAAAAGGAATGCCTCTTAGATGAAGATGGTCATGACGATGACGATGCCCAAGCTGACGACGACTGGATGGTGATGATGATGATGATGATGATAATGATGACGATGATGGTGACGAAGGCAATGAAAGGATACAAGTCTGATTAACAACCATGGTGATGATGATGGTGATGATGCGAAAGAAGATGAGGGTGGCCATCACGATGCTGATAGCGGTGAGGATGATGACTAGCTGTGCTTCCTTGATCATTGCTAACGCTGTTGTCGTTTGGCGCACTGATTGAGAGCTACTTTAGAGTTGCAGCCAGATCATCGCCACTAGACAGCATTCACAACCGCGGCCTCCGAGATTTTGGCGAGCTGACCAACCTGCAACACTTGTGGAAGTGCTTTCTCATTCCAAAGGCAGAAGCATTTTGTCAAGGCCAGGTTCTTCTGGTTTTAGGGTTTTAAGGTTGAGGGTTTTAGGGTTTAGGGTTTTAGGGTTTAGGGTTTAGAAGTTTAGGGTTTTAGGGTTTAGGGTTTTGGATTCATAGACCCTGGGTGGTGCTCAATTGCTACTCCCAAAGTTCACCTGTGCATCACGAGCGGTCACCACGTAGATTTCCACATGTGAGAGACTATTAGGAACTGATTTGGGAAACTGCTGGGAACTAGCACCCTTTGAAGTTTTGAGGAAAGTGGTGGAGCGCAGGTATGCAAACTGCTTCTCATGCGATTTTCAAAAGATTCTGGAGAACACTTAGAATGAACCACCTCAACACTGGGGCGGCAATCAAGCCCCTAGATAACAGAAAAACCCTATAACCCGCTGATTTTAAACACCCTTAAAGGCTACAGCCCGAAACCTTACAACCCTCTGCCTTATTACATCCCAAAACCCAAACCCATACAAATCCTATACCCCTAAACCCCTAAAAGCCCTATAACCCCAAAGCCCTGAACTGAAACCCTACGCTGCCAGGACTGCGGAGCCGACGATGAGAGTAATGATCACGGTTTAGGGTTTAGGGTTTAGGGTTTAGGGTTTAGGAAAGGGTAAAGAGACCTCCAAATGGGCAGTTCTCTAAATTAGGGCCCCTTGTTAGGTCCCAAATAGACCCCAAGAAGGACGCTGTTTTAGAGAACTACCCAAATGCAGCGTAGAGTTTAGGCTTTGGCCTGTAGGGATGAGGGTCACAGAAGACGCAGACATGACTACGCGACACCAACAGCAGAACAAGGTAGACGGAATTCAGAGCACAACAAGAAAAAGCACCATTAAACTCTCAGGAACGGAGAACGACGTGCTGAAGACAACAACAACACCCACGTGTCTTTGCTCCTCCTCTCACTATGCTTCTTCAAGCATTCCCGCTCTTGCTTTCTCAGGAATAGGCACGAAACCCCTCATGACCAGACACTTAACCACGAAATTCGAAGCCTCAAACCCGTGTAGGTACACCAGATGCATTATAAGGGCTGAGCACCGAAAACTAGAAGGCGATGTAGTCGACTGTTGAGGCACTACGATGGGCCATGAACACTATCAGTGATCGGTGCTATCCTTCCTGTTAGTACGATTGACGTTGCTATCTGTAGCTTGTTACAAGCATTCACCAAAAATCCTTTCAACAGCGGCGCAATACTGCCTGGTCCATCCCAAAGAGGCGGATGGTCCCCGCGATTCGAGTGGCCTCAGACTTTAGACAGGGTGGATCGTGGAGTGCTGGAAAATCAAGGATCTGGGGAACTTAGATCATTGATCGGATCTATGGACCTTATCGTCTTAACCGGAGTGGTCTTGTAGCAGCAATCTCGGTCCAAGGACAGTGCTTACAAATCGCAGCTCGGATTGAACGGCCTATTGTCTTGAATGGCCAGGGTCCCAAGCAATGATTGCCATGGCCAGGTCTCACCTACGATATGGCCGGAAATTTATGCGATCATTCGCACTACTACTACTCTTAGTATTGGCCCGGCATTCATATCCACATGCTTGTCCTTCCGAGGTTCAAGTTCGCAGGGTTTAGGGCCGGTGTCCGGTTGAGAACCGTCGGTCACGCAACCCTAAAGCCGTAAACCCCTGCCCCAAACCCCGATCTCAAATTCCTAAACCCTAAACCCTAAACCCTAAACCCTAAACCCTAAACCCTAAACCCTAAACCCTAATTCTACACCCCTGTGTCTGGCGAGTGTAAGCTCCCTGCAGTTGTCTTTCTCTCGGCTACGGCTCCTCCGGCTGTGACCTGAGGGAGTCTGACACACTTCTCAGCGTTGGGGTTTCGAGGTGGTCGCGAAAAGTGCTTTGGGTCATAGAGTCTTCGAGTCTAAAAACATTCTCACTGTGACCCCGGGTTGAAAGCAGTTGAAGCGTGCGCTGAAAGTTCAGCCTTTTGCTTCTTCGGCTCCCAATAGCAGACCGTTCCTGAAATTAAGGGGAGCTTTCTTGGTTTACGAACAAGTAATTATTTCTTACGTCTATTAATGAAAAGGGCTGAGCCCTGATTTTTGCTGCTACTACTCTCATCCAAGGCACTTCCGTACTGATGATGATGATGATGACGACGACGATGAGGATACTGATGCTGTAGGATGCTGTTGGTGCTCATGCTGGTGAGGACAAGGAAGCGGAAGTGCAGGAGGGAGGAGGAGGAGGAACATGCAAACAAGGCAACTGAATCATAAGGCTATGTCATAAGGGTGATCAGTGAGGACGTGTTGAAAGGCTTCGTGTCCTACAGTAATTCAACCTGAATCTGCGATGGGTGAAGTAGCAATGCATTCGGCATGATTTGTCCAACCAACCGTTGACTTCCTGTCGCCAACATGGGGGTTTCCGAAAATAGGGGACCCTAATATAGTACCCCAAATAATAGGGTTCTTATTATAAGGACCCCAAAATAAGGTACCCCTTATTTTCGGAAACTCCCACATCCCTTGAAGCCAATGCAGCTGTGGAGCTGTGCACACCAATCCTGGGAAACGAGTGTGGAAGAGGTCCGACATCTTGGCCAGGTTGTCCTTCAGCCGTTTAGGGGGAACAGCTTGGCTTAGAGCAGTCGGGCCTTTGGGCTTTCGGATGTTGAGATAACGTGTTAGTTGCGATCCTCTTCACTACTTTGGGGGTTTCGGGACTTGCACCATTCCTGCAGTTACTTTGTCCTAGCGTGCAATGCCACCAGTGCAATCGACCGGATCCAACGCCAGAGTCTGCTAGAAAACGAAAGTGAAGAGATAAATGCAACCCTAAACCCTAAACCCAAAACCCTAAACCCTAAACCCCGACATGCTCCCAGCGCCTCTCGCACCACGGCTTTGAGCAGAAAGGCAACAGCCAATTCGTCGCCTCGGTGCAGGCGAGGAGGCCCGGCTGTTCCACTTAAAGCTGCCTGTGCTTTAAAGTCCCCTAATATGGGTTATAACTACAGTTACCCTACTTCTATCCCCACTTATAACTACCCGTGAACCTCCAAGTAGAATTGGCGGCAAAAAGCTGCAGCAGCAGTCGTAGTGGTAGTAGGAGGGAGGGGAGGGGAGGCCATCAACCTGGCCTAGTATGATGCTCGATGTGGGTAGTTGTCAAAATTATGGTCCCTTTTGGGGTACCCTAAATAATAGGTGCCGTATTATAATAAGGACCCAAAAAGGGACCATAATTTTGACAACCACCCATGTGTGGATGTGTGGGCCGTTCAGACACCACTCTGGGCTCCTGACTTGATGCGGTCGTCTGCTCGGTTCGCTGCAAACTGGGAGAGAACGGAGCCTCAGAGATCAGGCCACAGCGAAAGGAGTCCCCTGATTTCCTTTCGTGGTCGCGGCTGTTAGTACAGATTGTCATGCTGCCGGGATCTGTCCGGCCGGCACTACAAGAAGAGATTCAAGATTCGGGGATCAGAAGTATGTAGTATAACAGTCTGGGGCTTGATCAAGCATCAGCACCAACTGACCTTCAAAGCCCAGGCCCTAAACCCTAAACCCTAAACCCTAAACCATGATGCTGGCATGAGGCAATCTTCGTATTGAAGGCGTTGACGACGAAGCCTCAAGCTCAGCGGAGGAATCGTAGTAGGGACTAAGAACTCCAACAGCTAGATAGACCAAAATACAGTAGTGATAATACCGAGAAGAGGAAAAGCCGTCATGCTAACAATCTTCGGTGTGGATGTATTTAGGGCATCCTGAACAGGAAACCGCAGTCTCGTCTCCAGCCGCGAGCTTACCAACTGCATCAGCCCTCGAATGACGAGCTCTTGGGGGCCATACACAATGTAATAGAACCCAAGAAGTTGGAACACTATCATCCTCAGAATGAATCGTCCTAAAACCATGTTCCAACTTTCTGGGGTTCGCTGTAAGGAGTCCAGCGCAGCCAACTAAAGAGTTGATCCTTGTATACAAGCCCGAAGCCTAAAACTTTGCAGCACATTGGCCCCACAAAGAAAAACAAACTCGGATTGGGTTCCTCAATAATTAAGGAAGACGAGTCTCAGCCAGAGGTCAAGAGTTGAGATCGTGAAATTTCAGGAGACTCTGGGTTTAGAGTTGAAGCATGACAGGGAAACAACACTTAGGCTAAGAGGGATCGAAGTACTAGGAAATTATCCCGTATCGTCCCCAATAGAAGTACAGTACAACATGCCCGCAAATCCTGTTGAGGTCATTAAGACCCCTTTTGTTAATGGATTTCGACGAGACACGTGGGCAGCGGCGCGCCATGGAAAGCATGGCCTCCTGCTCGTAGGACCAACCATGCGAGTCGTGAAGATCAGCAGTGTCTGTGGTAAGGTGGCCTTATGCTTTACTTAAAGGATCATGGGACTTAGTAAGTAGGGTTATAACTAAGGTAACTATACTTTTAACCCCAATTAGGGGATTAATAGCCTTACTTACTACTATAAGTCCCATGATCCTCCAAGTAGGATATTAGGGACTGCACCAGGCCAGATGAAGCACTTTCAACAACGTGACGTCGCTCGGTGTCCTGCCAGGGCTGTTTTTCCTCTCGCCACTGTCTACGACGGACGCGGCGACCGTTCTGGAAACACATCCCTTGTCGAGACAACTACAGCTGGCCAATGGGTGAGGAATGTACTCAAACAGCACGAAACCTCGCCCTGCTCAGCTCTGCATCTGTAGAGTAAAGACTGGCTGGTTCGCAGCAGGAATCTTGGCTCAGACCGTGATCTCGCTAGAATCTAGCGCGACTCCGAGCTTCATGCTGGAGTGGGAGTCCGGATAGATGCAGACACCCAAAAGGCTGGACAGGTGAACGCACTTGGAGCCGTCGGGGCAGCCGCCCAGAATGCAGGCAAGGGCGCAGTACTTGTCGCCGCTGCTCTCGTCCTGAAGGATGCACATGGGCTTGGCGGTGGTGCCCTCTGGCACATCCGTTGGGCAGGAGCCGGTGTTGCACTTAGGGGCACACACGCTGCCGCCAGCACCCTCCACCTCAGCCTGGGTCTCGTCCTTCTGGCACGGCGGCTTCTCATAGTGGCTGGTGCTGGGAGTCGGAGGAGATGGGGGA